GAGAGAAATGGGACAAATGCTCCATTTGCAAGCTGATACTATGGCTAGATGCCTTGTCCCCCCCACCTAGGTAGTGTGACAAGACATGATGCAGGTGTGAGGCTGACTTAGCTTGGCGGTGGTCTGCAGTTTTCTGGGAAAACTTGGATGCATTAAATATGAGGGCTTCTCTAAACTTCTCATCTTTATTCTTGTCTTATTTATTTTGTCTATGTTTCTATTAAGAATATAGCTTTCCCTCATTTTACTTTTTTATTTGTTGTTTGTTCTTTCAATATTGAATACAGATGGAAAGTAGAGAAAGGCCTAGAGTTAGTTATTAAATTATTAATAGAGTGGCTTGTCACATGGTTTAAAGGCTTGATAGGGAAAGGGGAGATTAATTTCTCAGGCAGCTCTACCTTTGAGATTGTAGCTGGTCTGTGGGCAAGATGCTGTCTGGTTACCTTGTGCACTCCCTTGTCAGAGACGCTGAGACTGCGGTGTCGTTAATAAAATTAAAATTGTGGTGTGTGAAGCACCAAGATTTTTGCAAGGAGGAATAGATTGTGACTCTACCCTTTTCTGAGGGCAGAAGAGGCTGTGAGTAACCTTGGTAAGGAGCAGCAAACCCTGTGGAGCCCTGCACAGCACAAAGTCGCTCTCCATCCTTCTCTTGGCAAGGAGCAGGGGAGCTGGAGCGCAGTGCGGAAATGCCAGTCCTCTAGCCAAAGGGCACAAATCCCCTGCAAGGACTTGGGCATCTCTGGGGGCTGCAGGCACTGGGGGACTAGTGAACTCAAGTCAGCTCCTTGAGAGCCCCCTCGGAGCATGAGGCACGAGGGCCCCATGAGGGAGGAGCGGCGCCCTAGGCAGGGCGAGAGCGAGCGTGCCCTCGAGGCCCTGGGCTGTGTGGTGACAGCCCCAGCACCTGCAGTGGTGCCTCTGCTCCCTGCCTCTCCTCGCTGCTGAGGCAAAGTCAGGAAGCCGTGGGCCCACCCCATTCCTCTCGCAACCTCTCTCGTAGCTTGTGTCGAGGGCCAGGTGCACTGGTACATGCAGCACCTCTCCTGGGGTGTTATTCAAGCAGTTAATAAGCTGCTGCTGCTCCCTCCCCCATGCCTCACGGATCTCCCATCAGCATCCCCACGACAGAGCCTGTTCTTTGGCCCATGGCGGGGTGATGTCAGCTCCCTGGCTTGTTTTTCTAGCCTGGTAAGGTGGTGGCACCAAACTGTGTCAATGAGATTTGGCTAATGCTGAGGAGTTGCCTCCCTCTCCAGGCGAGCATGATATAGCTTGGGCTCTGCAAAGACAAAAGCAGCTGAAAGACAGGCACCTTCAGGACCTGAAGTCTTTGACTCATCACACCATTAAATGCCAGTGAGCAAAGAGCACTGGATTAAGGAGATTTTTTTTCACTTCTGCACCAGGAAATTCTTCTCAGGGGCTGAGGTAGTTACTTGTCCCAGCTCAGCCCTAGCCTGGATCCCCGTGGCTCCCCAGGCCAGGCATGGGTGTGAGGTGGGGACAGAAGTCAGGGCCTGGCGCAGCGCTGCCTGTGCCACAGCTGCTGCGAGCTGCTTGCCTCTAGCCCCTGCTCTGCCTCCTGCACTGCCTACGCGCCTCTTCTGAGGCTGTGGGCAGGATCTTCCCCCCATGCTTTCCACTGCAAATGTTCACAATCTTTTCATTTGCCACAAGAAACCCTTCTGTGATCCCATGAGGCCTTCTCAGCTCTGGCAGTGGGAGCATTCCTCTCCCCAGTGCCTGCAGGTGACTCCAGGGGAAGTCACCAGAACCAGGGCTCTTGCCAGGCCCCTTGGCTGCCCAAGGCAAGGATAGGTAGGGGATCGACTTCCAATTTTTCCCTTCCATGTGCAGCCGTGTGCCAGCTACCTTTTCCTCACTCCTGGCTTGTGGTTGGTGGCGCTGGGTGGGCTGTCACCTCTCACCCTGAGATAGGTGACATTGGAGCCTCCTTCCTGGTGAGCTTTGGGGCCTGTCTGGCACTCAGTTAAAGGCAACACAGTGAGGGTCAGCTCAGTTCACATTCACCTTCATCACGAGAGCCGTGGGCCTCAGCCCCAGGGGAGCGCTGTGACACAGTGTGTTCCCATACTTGCTGTGGCTGCAAAGTGATTTCACAGGTCCTGCTACCTAAGTTATACCCAAAGTTTGGCCTCTAGGTGCTGCTAGGGAGCTTCATCACACTGCATTTAATACAGTAGATTATTTCTGCCCAATACTGAGCAATTCCAGGTCTTCCTCAGCAAAGTGAAACCCAGTAGGAGAACAGGGAGGCTACCCAACCTGCAGGCACCTGCTGTCGTGGGCTGCACGGACTGCTATCAGCATCCCTGTCTCAAGCAGCAAGCGCAAGGTGGGCACCTGGGCTCACAGCTGCTGCTGTGCCATAGGAGATGCTAGGGAAGAACTTCTTCAACCCACCCTCTGCCTGAGGCCCTCAGTCCTTATCCCAGAACTCCCCCAGCCCTGGGTAGGGATGCTGCTTATCCTGGGCACTCTGGCTAGAGCAGCATCACTGTGCAGTGAAGCTCCCTCAGGTCCCGGAGGTTTCCCAAGCACATGAAGCCATGTGGGGATGACTGACTGTGTTCCCAGCTACTCATGCAGCTGGTGTGACTTTGAGTTTCAGCAGGGCATTCAGCAGAAATCTGATGCAAGAATCCTTTTTGTTGTTGTTGTTGTTATTGTTGTTTGTGCCTTGCGCTTGAGCAATAAATCAGCTCTAGCACCACCTGCCTCTCCTGCTCGCTGCCCGGAGAGATGCTGCGAGCAGGACAGCACCGGTAAATCCCTCTTTCTGGTGTCTCCTGGCGGGAGCCCAGCAGTGCAGAAACCTGCTCTTCCCAAGCAGTTGCAGGAGCATCGTGGCGCCAGTGCAAGAGAGAAATGTGAAGCACCAGTGGGTTAAAGTGCTCAGTACCTTAAAACTTAAGAAATAGTAGAGGTATGGGTTGTAAATTACGAAGTTAATCATTTTTATTTTGCTATTAATTTAACCTTTAGACTCGAGGATTTCTTCCCTGGAACTTGCCTGTAATGGATGAACTTGGAGATGTCTGTGAGCATGGAGCCAAGCTTATAGAAATGTCACTCAGCAGAGCATGATGCTCCTCTTCCTTCAGTTTTTAAAAGACTGTGTCTTTATGCTGGTACTATATTGCTCTGCAGCATTTACAATAATTGCCTCTTTTCTACTCATTTTTTTTTTAATTCTCTAACTGAATGCCCATAGGGTTTAATGTTCTATTTTGTAACATGTGACAGTGGCAATTACCCTGATATGGGCAACCTATAAGACAGCCTTTAGTTATGTCTACCTGTCAGCTTTCCATCCTGTGTGACAGTTCAAAAGACGAAAAAAAAAAATCAAAGCAAAAGAAAAGTTTAATTTTTTTTCAGTGTGGTGAAAACTAAAGTCCAAGATACACTGTTTATTCAGCTTTAGATATAGTTGAAAGTTAGCACAAAAAGAAGTGTAATGACTTAAGTCAGTAGAAAATGCTAGATTTTAATGATTTTTCTAGAGAAAACACTAAACCCAAGCACTGAAGGATTATGTACATAACAGAAAAAATAAATGTGATGGTGCCTTTGCATTAATTAATAAGAAATTTACAACTTAGACTGATACATGTTTTCAGATCTGTTAATCTGACAGTATCAGTGAATCATCCCACTGAGGCTATTCAGGAAAAGACTGTTCAATCTGTATAGCACACCACGGTCAGAAAGCAGTCAGAACAGTTAGAACCCTTAATGCGCACTGGAGATGATCCTTAACCAGCTGATGTGATGCTAAATAAATGTGCAAGACCACAGCTTTCATCCAGCAGTTTAAAGAAGGCACTAAATGACGTAGTTGTGCTTTCGTGGGTGAGAGGCACTCGTTCAAACATCATCTTCCCACCTTTGCTTGAGCGGGATCTCTACTTCTCTGGGGGTCCCTTAAAGATACACTGGCATGGTGTACGCTGTGGTGGGAGTAGTAATGGATATTATAGCACAGGGAGATTGCCTTCTAGAGGAGGGCAACAGAGTGTTTGTCCCATGGAAAATGCATGTAGATGGGGCCCTAGCAGTGACTGTAGCAGTTCTAGATGCAGGGCAGAAGGGGAGGTGAGGAGGCAAGCTTTTGCCTGTATTTCATGGTTTGATTTTTCAAGGCTTGTCTTTTCCCCATATGAGGCAGAAATGCCATGGATAAGTTCACCTATTTTCCCATTTCCCTCTCTGGACATGCCCTTTAGTTTTATGTGAGTGTACACTTAGGCAAAAGTGCCTTGCATCACTGGACAATTATCCCACATTGCACTCGCTCCAGGGTAACCCCATCCAGCTGCCACCTATGAAAAGGTTAAGCTGATTATTACGAACCCTTACAAACACACCCCGGTGGGCATGCAGACCCCTTGCTAATGGTTTTATCTACATCTAAGCTATTTTTCGTCGTTATTTTTCTCAGACCTGGTGAAAGCAGTGCAGAGGCCACAGGTTACTTGGGAAGAGGGTGCTCTCAGCCCCATGGCAGCCTTTGCTCCCTCATTCCTCACGCAGGAGCCCCGCATCCAACTCGGAGCCATGGTGGTGAAAGCAAGCTGTGCAAAACCTTCTGCTCCACCCGCGTGCTGCTCCCTTCACCACTAGGAGGGAGAGCCAGTGGGTCTGTAGCATCTTTCATCCAAGATCCCGACCGTGCTAGGGGAGGTCTTCCTCTGCAAAGGGGGTGCAAATACAGTGGGCCCGGGTTTTAGAGGCTTCAGCGCCATTCAGCCCAGGACAGCCGAGTCTGCAGTGTGGGGGAAGGAGCGCAGGGCTGTGTGGGGCAGAACGACAACGCGCAACACGCGTGCCCCTGACCTGCAGCCCGTGGGCATTGCGCGAGTGCGGGTGGGTGGTGGGGCCGGGCGGACACGATTGGCTGCGGCCCGGCCGGGGGAGCGCGGCTCCCGACGGCTCCCGACGGCGGTGGCAGTGGCAGTGGCAGCGGCAGGATGGCGCTTAGCTTCAACCTCTCGGCGCTGCCGCCACTGCGGCCCTGGGACTTCGAGGGGCGCTTCGATGAGCGCGGCGCAGTGCGGTGGGCACAGGACAACTGGTGAGTAGCGGTGCCAGCCCCGAGGGGCGCCTGGGAGAGCCGGGACGGGGTGGGTCGGCTTTGGGAATGAGGTGAGGAGGGGACACGTCCTTTAGTGGCTGTGCAAGCACTGCAGGCAGAGCCGTCCCTGGCTAGATGTGGCGCAGACGGTGCACACAGCTGTCCAGCTGTGGTCCTCCCTGCCAGTGGTGCAGGTGAAAGCAGACCCGGGAAAGAAACGAAGCTACCCGGAAAGGGGTGGGTGGTGGAGCAAAAGCGTACGCTCTGATCTGCTTTGAAGGGGCTCGAGCTGTAGTTGAAAAATGAAATATCTTGTTGTTTTAAGCTGCTGTGCTTATTTTCAATCTGGCTCAGCCAGAACCTACCACAACTTGCTGCTGCCCAGAAGCTGTTTCTGATGCAGCTGGCCTGAACAGTGGAGCTTGCGCTGCACGAATAGCCCCAGTCACTTGAGTTCAGAAAAAGCTATTCAGTGTAAAGCAGTTCCTGCTATTTTAAAAGAGATATTAGAGATCAGCCTCATGTCCATGCGTTGGGCTTTATTTAAACTGTATCTCCACATGTTTCCTTGCAGAATTTCTTGCTTTACCCCTTCAAACACACACATTCATAGAGAAACCAGCTGAACAATAAATGAACATGCTAGGCTCCAAGGCTGTCTTAAACTTTTTCTGCCTTTTGAAATTGATGGGGCAGATCTTTTTTTCGTGTAGCTAACGAATCTTTTTGCCCTTATAGTTACATGTTTTATAAAGATACCTGCCTCTTCAGTATTTCCCTTTCACTGTAGCAGAAACCCTAATGAGCCCTCCTTCAACTTATACTTTATGAGCCTGTTTACGTTACAACCAATTTGCTGCTGATTTTAGAGCTGAGGTTGGCTTGTTTGCTTATGTTAAGTAAAAATATTTATAGTTACTGAAAATATTATCAGTGTAGATATCAGTGATTTAAATATATATATTGTTGTCTTTCTTCCAACAATGCAATTTTGCATTTTGGAGTGCAAAACTCCTTTGGTCGAGCACAAGCAGGAAAGAAGATTTTTTTCCTTGGCCTTCCCTTCTTCCCTTCACAGGGGATGGTGGGAGGAAGGCTCTGTGTGTGTTTTTTGTTTTTGTTTCTTCTCCCCTCCTTTTCTGCATAACTCTTCTGATTATGTTAGGCTGAAAATGGCTCTGTGGGGAAACTTCTGAAGGGAAGTTCAATCCCTTTCCTGGTTGACATAACCTCCTACCCTGGGCTTTAGGGACAAGAGAGCATTGAATTGACTTCTGCAGCCTTAAGAGAGGGGGCTGGAAGGGGGAGTTGGTTGAGTTATTCCTCAGATGTATCTTTGCTCCTCGTGTGGAGGTTCACGGAGCCACTCATGCCATGAAGCAGCCTTGCTGAATGTACATTTGGCCTCCGAAGTGCTCTGGCTGAGTGATCTGTCTGCCCAGCCAGACTGGCCCTCCAACTGTTGCATCCCGCAGACCAGCTCCACACGAGCCCTCCCACGGGCCCTGCCATGTTTGCAGCCTGTGAGCAGGATCTGCTTGGAAGCAGGAGAAATGGAAGGGTATGAAGGTGGGGAGCGTGGTGCCCCATCTGCCAGCAGCACGAGTAGTTGCCTGTTTTGGAGCTAGCTCAGGTGGGAAGTCAGGAGAATAAAGGAGCCAACACTCACCTCACCTGGCAAGTTCTCATGCTGCTGCCTCTGAGCTGATGCAAATAGCATCCTCTACCTGTTAGCGCCTGTGGAAAGTCGTGCATAAGCCTCTACTGAGAATCCCCTTTGCAGCTGATCAGATTCTGTCTTTCCCTGGCAAATTCTGTGGGAATCTTCATGATGTAACAGCCCACTTGATTTTTTCTGCAGTCCCCAGGATTTTTCCTCGACAGCTCAATTCACTATTAGGACAGGCTTCTTGTGAGGAAGCCCAGCCTCAATAAGGTGAAGGGAGGGGTGGTATTTCTTGGTGAGGAAGAGCTCAGGTGGGGTGACAGGAGCCTTCCTGGGACTAGCAGGGAAATCTGGTGTTTTCCCTGACCACTATCCTGTAGTGGTTTGTCTGAGAGCTCCCCTCTTCTCCTTTGCTTGCAGGAAAAAGTCTTTCTCATTTTCTGTAGCTTATTTGATACTGATCTTTGGAGTCCAGCATGTCATGAAGGAACGGACAGGCTATAAGCTGCGCACACCTCTGGTCTTGTGGTCCTTCAGTCTGGCCTTGTTCAGGTAAGAGCAGAAGCTGGAGGCAGCTGCAGACTTTCCTGCAGAGTGGGTTGATGAGAAGCTTTGGGTATCCTTATCCATGGGGAATCCATATCCACCATATCCTTAGGGAAATCAATATTCTTTCCCTTTGGAGGCCCTATCCCATAATCATCGGTGAGAGCAGAGGTAACAGCCTCCCCACCAGAAACACTGCAGCCAGTGGAGTGAGTAGCGGATGATCTGCTGCCTGTGGAGGTTAGCACGGGTAGGAGCTGGAGGGGCCAAAGAGACTATTTTCCAGCAAACTGGGGACTGAAACATGGCCCTTTCAAGAGAAAGAGATGGTGGCCAGTTTAAGACAGAAGAGCAGTGATAGTCAGTAGCTTATCTAGCTGTTCCTAAGGCTGCCCTGGGCATGGAGATAATATTTGTGGGTGAAGAGCTGCCAGGGGATGCTATGGGGCCCGGGGCATGGTAACTGCTCACAGCTTTCACCTCTCCTGATTTTCTTGCAGTGCCATTGGGGCCCATCGCTGCTGGAAGCATGTGGCCTTCATTGCCTCTACAGAGGGATTTAGACGACTGGTGTGTGATCAGACTTTCTATGTTCACCACACCACCAAGCTTTGGGTCTATCTCTTTGCAATGAGCAAAGTTGTGGAACTGGGTGAGTTGCAAACTTCTCCTTATCCAATGGTTTCATAATTCTTTTGCTCTTCCTACATATCTCTCTCCAAGTGTTACTCCCAGAATGGAGCTATCTGGCTTAGCATGTGTTGTTTGCTTTCTCTCTGACCTGTTGCTCAAATGTTCTTTCTTCATGGGGCCACAGCCTGACATTATTGCTCTGGTTTGATATTCCAGCCCAGTACCTGGAACAGACAATTCTGCAGTGAGCAGATTGTGGTGAGGTGGCCCCAGGCAGCCTTCTTACCTGCAAAAATTTTCATTCTTGGGGTAGAAACTCAATGGAAGTTTTCAGGAAATGTGTGGTTCATTAGAAACAAAAGTGCTTACAGCAATGCACAGGGTTTGAATAAGTCAGTGGAAAGTTTTTTCCTGGAAACCATTCCAATATTGTCTGATGCCTAGTGTTCTTGCAGCAGGGACTACCCTGGAGTCAAGGCTAGTTCCCTGAAGAAGAGCAGGGATTTGAGAGAAGTAATCAGACTGCTGGCTCTTACAAGTTGGCATTTGAAGTCACTCCTGATGAAATTGTTCTGTTCCATTACATACTAACTGGGCAGCCTGGGGGAGTCATGTTTATTGATATTAACCCATCTTCCGCTCCTAACTGAGTCCTTGAGCAACATGTAAACGTAAAACAGGAATATCCACAAGCAGGACTTCTTTCTACTCAGTTTCCATTTAAGTACAGTAAGGCTGGTCTGAAGTGCTCTGTGGATAGAAGTATATAAGCTGCTGGGGAAGGGGCAATCCATTGGAGGTGTACCTGTGCAGGTTTTATTAATGCAGACAAATTTAATGTGACCCTAGCTTTTGATGAGATCAACCCAAAGCCAAATCAAGCCAATGAATGACTTTACCATCTCTGCTCAGTCTTTCTGCCTTGCCCAAAAGTCTGACTGCTGTGCTTCTACCTGAGTAACAGTGCCTCTCTTTCCCAAGGTGACACTGTGTTCATCGTTCTCCGGAAGAAGAGGCTCATCTTCCTTCACTGGTACCACCATGTAACTACGCTCATCTACACCTGGTTTGCCTATAATCAATCAGCACCAGGCACGCTCTTGTTCGCTGCCATGAACTTCACTGTCCATACTTTCATGTACTCCTACTATGCCATGCGAGCAGCAGGCTTTAGGGTGCCTCACTACATTGCCATAGCAATCACCTTTTCACAGATCCTGCAGATGCTGGTAGCTGTGATACTGAACATCTTAATCTTCTTCTGGATGGAGCAAGAGATCTTCCACATCTGCTGGTCGGGTGTTTTATTTTCCGTCTTGATGTACCTCAGTTACTTGGTGCTCTTCTGCAACTTCTTCTACAAGACTTACCTGACAACTGCCACGAAATCAAAGGGGGAGTAAAACTGGGAAGGCAGGAGGTGGCTGGGGTGATGGGAGGGGGGTGGAAAGGGGAAATTTTTCATTCCTGTATATTGATGCCTGATGGGGCTGCTCTGGTGATATTTAAGAGGAAGTCATTCTCTGGTTGAATGACTTCAGGTGAACTTGTGCATTGGCCTTTGGCAAGTCTGCCTTGAAACAGGTGAATCACCAGAGTGAGGTGCAAGTTGTCTCGGACTGATCATGTGAAGAAAAGGAGAAAGTAGAGGGCTGGAGATATCAAAACTATGATTCTGCATTTTCTATGCTCTTTACCTTTTCCATGTACTAGTCAGGTTTGCAGTGTGCATTGCAACCCTTAGTGACTGCTTGGATCCTGCATGGCACAAATTTCTTCTTGGGAAAAGGTGGGGAACCCCCTTTCAAAGTGGAGGTTATTGCTCTGTGGTGTGTCCTCACAGGAGGAGAGCAGAGCGCAAACCTTGCTGCTGTGTGTGCTGGGAAGCCCCCCACAGGGTTTGGGGTGGAAAGAGGTGTCAGTGGGAACGGCACTGACTTAGAAAGACCCTGCTGTCTTTTAAAGATGTGTAGGGAGTGGGGAGGAGAACAGGAGTACCTTTTTCACCACGGTTCCTATGGAGCCAAAAACTGTAAGGCTCTTTGAGAGCTCTTCCTCTTCAAACCAGCCACTGCCTTCTGGTAAAAATGGTACTTTTTGATTAGCAGCTAGTAAGAAGAGGGAATCACTCTAATCTATGTCTCATCTAATGTTTCTCTTGATTCTTTCCTTGGTCATGATGAAGATCCCTCTCAGCCTTTGTGCACACTTATCCTAAGAGGACACTGGGAGGTGAACAGTCCCTGACCTGCAGAAAGCCAGACCTCAAAGTAGGTAGCTCAAAAGTGGACCTGATCCCTGACTGGCTCTCTGAAGTTTCACCTCAGGAAGCTCCTGTGGCGCCGTTTGCCTCAGGCAACCACAAGTGCCCTGCTTCCTCGCCCCCGCTCTGAGGTAGGAAAAGGGCTGGGTGCTGCCACAGCTCCCTCACCTCCGCTGCCTCAGCGCCTAGGCAAGGTCACCACAAAAATGTGGATGGGGGGGACTAGGTCCAAGGTCATCACTCTTTGCTGACCAAAGGCTGGCCCTGCTGGCCCCTGTCCATGCTGCATGAGTAGCAGACGGCTGTCAGGACTCTCCCGGAGGAGGCTTGCCCGTCACAGCCCCAAGGATGTCAGCAGGGTCTTCCTCAAGTGCCACATGCTCACCCAGAGCCCTGGGTGAGGAATTGAGCACTGGCAGCCTCAGCAGCCAAATCCCAGCCTCTGTTCGGAAGAGTACAGAACTTCCAGCTGAGAAAGCGACATTACAAATCTGGGCTGCACCAAAGCAATACCCTAAACTTGTGCTTTACTTGACCCAAAGTAAATGTTGAGCCTGCTGATATCAGTTTAAGCTTTACCTCCTGTGCTACTGATACAGATAGGAGCTTCAGGGCAATGGGCTCATCCAGCAAAGAGCAGCAGAGCTTGGCCCTGGGTCTCCCTTCATCTTTCTTGTGTGCTCTGGCTGCTGCAGCAGAACCTTTACTTACCGCCAGTACAGGGCTCGGTGGCACAGTGAGCCATGTTCAGAATGAGGTGCATTTTAATGGCTGTTATCTTGACTCTGTCATTCATATAGTATTAAACATTGTATTTAACTTGACTTAAACCTCAGGAGTTGAGCAGAGTCCAGTCTGGCTTATCTGCAGAGCACCTACAGCCTTGCCTACAGTCATGGCCAGGGGACAGCCCTGAGGGATGGAGGAGTTGGGGTCTGTGCAACAGTTCAACTACAGCCACAGCAGCTAGGCATTGAAACACAAGGGTTCCACAGCCAGGCCAAAAACTTTCAGTGTGCATTTGAGAACTGTCATTGTGTGACATGTAAAAATGATAAATAAATATGGTCCTACATGGATGGCTTTCTTTATTTGCTGCTTTGAAGTTTTCTAGGGATATGGAGAGAGGGGATTATTCCAACTTTTTTATTCCATCTTATTTTTTTTATTCCACCTGTAAAAAGAAACCTCAAGCAGGGATTAGGAAGCTTGTCCTCACAGCTGTTGGTGGCAATATGCTACCGCTGACCCAATATAGCTGGAAAAAAACCTATGATCACAAAAAGTCCACTGCATTTTTTTTTCTTTTAACATTCTTAGGTGCTAGGGCAGAAATCTGGGCTTTGGAAGTGGTATCAGGACTCCATGTGGCCCCAGGATAGTTGAATGGTGGCTGGGACACTTTGGATGTGCCAATCTGCTCCTAAGGACTCTCTTGCTCTCAGTGTGTGGGGCGGACTATTTAGGCTTATCTCCCTGGGAAGTGATGTATTCGCTTAGGTGCTAGTCAAACTCCTGCTCCGTTGGAGGTGATCAGGGAACATGCCTCCACCCTGGCCTTTCCCATGCCTGACTGCACAGGCGCTAAAGGCAGCAGTGAAAAGAAAAATTAGATTCATTTCTTGCAGGCATCTACCCACACTCAGTTTCAAATATCTCCAGCAGGACCCTGGTAGTTCACAGACAGTCTTCATTTTGAGATTGTCTGGAGAAACCATGGTAAAAATTGGCATGCACCAAGCAAGAGATGTCAGGAAACAATTCCCCACTATGTTAACAGCAAGAGGCTAACCAAGGACATTGTTGTGCTGCTTTTCAACAAACAGTGATGGCAGCTGCAGAGAAGACATAACTATTTTGCCTGTTTTTCACTAGCCTTCACAAAAAGACAGCTACGAGGAAATGGGTAGCACAAGCCATGCCAGTGATGAGAGCTACAAGTCAAGCCTTGAAGAGAAAAAACACAAGCAAGGGAGTATTTAGATAAACAGGAATTTTTCAGACCATCTGGGTCTGATTAACTTCACCCAAAGCAATCTCACAACGTCTGCTGTTATAATGGAGAAATGCTGTGGGACTATGATGCATAAAAAGACTGGAAAACACAAGCTTTATGTCCACCTTCAAAATAGGAAATGGGGCAAGAGCCAGGAACTGCTGGCAGTTAATCCCTCCCCCTCCCAAGAGGAACAAACATCTCCTATTTGTCAGCAGTGAAGATGAGCAGGAGCCATATGGATTTGTCAGGAACCATCTCTGATCAAGGCAATCTCATTTTCATTTCTGTGACAGAGTAAGAACCATGCTGAAGATGAGCAGTGGCTGCCATTTAACTGAATTGTAATAAGGCTTCTGGCATTGTCTCATGTGCTAAGCTCTGAAGCAAGCCTGAAAACCATGATGTAGATAGGATGTAGGGTAAGCACAAAACGGTTGTACAGCTGTACCCACCGGGTTATCTATGATTTTCTGTTGAAAAGGAAGGGGAATGTTGAGTGAAGTTCAGAGACATCTGTTCCGGCTCTGGCTTTGTTCAGCATTGCCATTAATGACCTGGATAATGGAGCAGAATGTACACTTGCTAAATCTGCAGATTGGGAAGTGTCCCATGACGAGGTTAGATCTCTAGAATAAGCAGGACTGTGCTGACCCCCCTCCTTGGGTGGCAGTGTCAAGGCAGCTAGAGAGGTAGTGGGGACTTGTGGCAGAGAAGGCCCTGGAGCAAATCTGCAGAGGCACTGCTGTCTTTGTGCTGAACATGCATAACATCCACGTCCTGAGCACGTAGGAAGGCAGCCAAGTGCAGGAGGCCTGGTGGTAGTGGCTCAGCTGCATCAGGAAAGCAGGTGGCATTTGGAAATGTGGGAATATCTCCCAGGTTCTCTGCTGGAAATTCGTTTCCTTCATTACTTATTGTCGTCCTCTCTGGTGCCTGTGGGCTTTACTGTTTTCCCCGGGTTGTGTCAGTTATTTGGTGTCATTGTACAAAACAACCAGTGTGTGCTTTGCTGTCTGGTTTGGAGGATACATAGCGTGATGCCTTCTGCCTCAGCAGTAAGGGAGACAGACCCCCATCTTCTCTGTACAAGCTTCGGAAGGAGAAGTTTGAAACAACTAGCCAGCCTGTAGATTGACTGGCTACATATGCCCACATGCGCCAGTTGTCAGATGTAGGTACCAAGTGAGTTTGTGCAACTCGGACACCAGACTGGATTGGTCTAAAGGTAATTAAAATGACTGTGTGGAAAACCTCAGGTTGAAAAATCAGTAGCTAAATGAGATCTTGACTTCTGCCTGCTGGCTGCAACAGGAGATGGTGAGAGTTGTGTGCTGAGCCAGCTTCTTGCTCCATATGTGCAGGCACATCTTTTGTGATGGGATCCTGCAGGACCCAGCCACAGCCAGGCCACCCGTCCCAGCAGTGTGTCTCTGCACATGGGCTTCCTTTTTGCACCACCCATCCCTACCCAACCTCCTCTTTTCCATGGGGATCCCACGAGAAGTCCAGCAACACATAAATTGTTTGTTCAAGAGTGGTTACTACAGCAGTCTAAACGAGAAGGAAGATATCGTGTTGTTACTGGTTTTGCCTGGGGGAGAACATCAGGGAGACTTTCCGTCCTTAGCCATGTAACCCACATGAAGGCATGGGGTATTTCCCTTTGATTCTTTCTCCTGGCAAAGCTGTGTCAATTTGCCTTGTTGTGGCTTTGCTGTGCTCCTTCCTGCCCCAGACTGAGTGTGGGCACGGGGAACTCGGTGACAGGAAGGGCAGGCTCCATGTGGGAGGAAGAGGAGGAGAGGGGAGCTCCCTTGTGGCACCACCTGGCTGTAGGGGAGGGGAAAGGTGGACTCAGGTGTGAAGCAGGCTCTGTAGGGGAGGAAACTAGAGAGGACCAGGGAGCTCTAGGCCCTTTCTGCTTCCCTCGAGAGAAGAGTTTGGGTAGAAGAGAGAGCTGAGGCAAAAGCACCAAGGTGTGTTTTTGGGGAGGACTCCCAGAGGGAGGTTGCAGCACAGGACAGAGCCTAAAGCAAAGCAAGCTCAGCAGCACTGAATCTCAGAGGTAAGATCTGGATCTGGTTGCTATTGCACTATCTATGTTTTATTGAAAGTCTGTGCTTGATCCTTGAGCACATGTTGCAGAGCAGGGTTGCATTCTCCTTGGTAGCAGTCGCAGCTTGGGGTAAAGTGGCTCCCTTGTTTTGGATTAGCTCAGAGCAAAGCGTGGTTTTCCTATGGTGGTGTTGGACCAACATCTGCATCCGTGCTGCGTGTGGAGGGGCTGACCTGCCCCAGGCTGTGGGCCTGAAGAGCAGTGGCCTTATCCACTCTCCCCAGGGCGCGAGCCTGAGCCAGGAGAGGCTCAGCCTGCTGGCTCAGGGCTGCAGGAGCGAGTCGTCTCCCCCGCACTCCTGAGGCCTCTGCACTCCTGAGGAGCTACGTGTTCTGGTTTGTGAGTGTGTCCGCACGATGCTTCCTGTCAATGTCAGGCCCCTGCGTGACTTGGGCCTCGCTGGTGCTCGCAAGGGACACTCGCTCTCCTGCAGGCTGCTGGTGTGTGACTTCTGATCCTGTAGACACAGGCTCGTGCTCTTAATAACGAGGCAGGCAGAAGCCTTAAAGGGATTGTGCCAACTTTCATTTTATTTTCTTTTTTGAAAGGGGATTTGGGAAAGGGTAAGGGGAGATGTGCAAGGGGGAGTTTATCATTGCAAGAAGGAGCTCTTCGGATGTACATGGGCAAAGGAATTCCTACCTGGCTGGAAACGACTGAAGCAGTAAAGCATTAGAGGCAGATCACTGCCTTGGTGGGCATGCTTGTTCTATGGGGTTTTTGGTTTTAAGGTCTACTTCATAGGTTATTCCATGTACAAAACAAAACAAAAAAAGCATATTTTAATATATATGTCTATATATGTATATGTGTATATATATAAAATATATACACACACATATTCTATATCTTTACAACTCCCAGTCCCTAAAGGCTTCAAGGCCATGTGTATATATGTATTATAAAGAAATATGCCAATCAACTGAGTCAGCACTTTCCTTACCAGCTGCAGAACTGGCTGTGTGATAAATAAATGAGCAAGTTGTCTTTAACTAAAATCCAACAACCTCACACAAGTTCGGGGAGAGGAGGTCAACCAAGCATTGAACAGTGGTACCACGTCACCCTGTCCCTGGCTGTTTCCTCCATCTGCAGTGTCTGGTTGCTTATGTTTTCCTAGGCCCCCTTGTCTCTGGGGAAGGGAGGGGAGAGCCCTCACACCTGGAGGGGTTGGAGGGTCAGACCAAAATATGCTCAGGTTTGCTGCACACAAGTCAGGCACCTCACACGTCAGGGGCTCCTATTTCCCTGCAGGGATTCCAGTAGACGTTTGTTTGTTTGTTTTTCACCAAGAGGGAAGAGGTTTGATGGGCAAGAGGGGAAGGGATTTGGGAGGGGAAAGACAGTCAAAATTCACCATACGATAGTTAGACAAATCTTCATAGAGGTCCAACTGCCTGCTTGCCTCTATCTTACTCTCTTTCACTCTCTCTTTCACTCTCTTTCTCTGCAGGACGTACGCTGTTGTAGGGCTCAAGGTCTCCTTTTGTCAGGCTAAGGTCAAGTCCCCGGGTGGTGGAGGGCAGCCCTTCATACAGGCCTGTCCACAGCGTATTGGCAAGGGCTCAGGTTGGAAGCTGCTGTCTGCACCGCCGGGTAGGTGAAGTTGGCGTGCTGCTTTGCCTTCAGCCTCAGGCTGGCCAGGCTGGAGTTGCACGTGTCCCTGTACATGTAGGGGCTGGCCGTCGAGGCATAAGGACAGGCACTGGATGAAACGGCGGAGTTGAGGCTTGGGCTGTTCAGGTTGTTGATGTTTCCCAGGTTGTTGAGGCTGGAGCCTGGTACTCCGGTCACTGCTGAAGGGACCATGGAAGAAGGCATGGTCATGGAGGCGATGGAGCTGGGTGGGGAGAACATGGGCTGTGAGGAGAGAGGACTGACATTCATGGAGTTGAAGAAAGGGAAGCTCTTGGCTGAGAGGGGGCTGGTGGCAAGCCCCTTGGTGGCCCAGTTGTTGTAGGAATAGCTAGAATACATGTCATCGTAAGGCTGCATCAGTCCGTTGAACTGGGCTCCAAAGCTGTTCTTGCACAGTTCAGCCTGCTGGTTCCTCTCCCGTTTCCTCCACTTAGCTCTGCGATTTTTAAACCAGACCTGCAAGCGAAAGATGAAGGGGGAATCATTCCGGGTTATCACTTGGAGGAGACTTTGCCTCGGTCCCTCGGCCCAGCAAGGCTGAGAGCAGCGTAGACACTGGAGCACTTCCCAGGGAGCTGGTCAGGAGGGAGAGTGAACTGCAGGAATGGCTGGCAGCATCACGCCTGGGCTGCAGTCATCCCTGGGGGAGAATGGTCACCTAGGTCTAAACCCAAGCATTTCTACTTGCAGTGCACAGAATAATCCTACAGTATTTGAGCTCATTTAATGGGTAATGCTCATGGTGTACTGTAGGCACTCGGTCAAACCCTGCTGCATGGATGTTGGTGCCAGACAGTGGCGCTGGCGCTATGGAAGTGGCACATTTGGCAGCCTCCTCCCAGAGCCCTTCCAGGTTTCTGCTGTAGCTCTGACTTGTGGCTGCTGTAGCTATGATGGGTTCACTTGTTATAAACTGATGCAGGAGACCAAGGAGTCTTATGTCTGAAGTCTGTTTCTCGGTTGCTACTGAAAGGCTGGAAATCTCTAAATGTGTCCTGGTATAGGCCAAAGCAAATGGATATGGCCTTTGAGATCTCCAGTGCTCCAAGACCTGCCTTCTGACCTATCTCACTTAAATGTCTTTTACATGAGGGAAAAGGAAAGAAGTACTTGCTGTATTTCCAAGTGACCTGAGCCCAGGAGGAGGGGCTGGGGCTGTGTACCTTGCATACAAGGCATTTAGGGGATGTGATCTGAGCTGCAGGAAATCAACTCTCTTGTTTTGACTTCATCTTGGCTTAGCTGGGGAGGGATGTTAGAAGTCTGTCTTCTAGCAGGAAAAACTGTTAGTGTTAAAAGGACTTGAATAACACAACTTCCTGGAGCGTGGAAGCTGCTGGAAGGCTATTCACGGTGCCGCCAGCTCGTATTTCTAGCAGCGGAGAGAAGCTCCCGTTCCAGCTGGAGCACTGCCACGTGAGGCCTGTGACTGCCCCATAGACCAGGGTACCCCAGAGGGTGCCCACGCTAACAAGGCTGAGGCTGGGGGATGTGGGCGCAGCAGGGTAGATTTGTGTCATGGTCAATGTCCACCCCACAAGCTAAGGGCCTGTTACAGGACAAGGCAGGCGAGGGGATGCAGCCCTACCCGGACTCGTGCCTCTGTCAGGTTGGTCCAGACTGCGATCTCCTCCCTGGTGCTCATGTCTGGGTAGCGGTTCCTCTGGAAAGTGGCTTCCAGCTCCTGGAGCTGCTGGCTGGTGAAGTGAGTCCTCTGCCTCCGCTGCTTCTTCTTAAGCGAGCTGTCCTCGGCGTTGGAGTCGTCCGTCTGGTTCTGCTGGGACTTTTCTGTGTCTGCGCAAGGAACAAAAGACGGGAGAAATCCCTGTGGTTGGTGCTGAGGCTTGGATGCATTCAGTGGCACCTGTCCTCGGGGAAACCAGGGTCCCTCCTGCTGCCATCGCCGGCAGCACTGCTGGACTGGGAAGGCCCCTGTCCCCCTTCCCTGGCTAGCAGTGCAACAGGTCTCTCAGCAAACCCGCTCCCCTGACACTGCAGCTTGCCCTGGCTTAACCTGCGTAATGGATATGAAGTGTGGACAAGCTGATTTTTTTTTTTTTCATTCGCTGGTGTCAAGATGCTCCCTAATGCTCCTGAGTTCAGTTCATGTCAGCAGAGTTTAAACCATTGGGATGGTTATTTTCTTTTGCTGTGAGTATTTTTGTGTTTTCCTGCACCATTTGTTTGACATCGGTTCTAAGCTGGGTTCTGTTACTAAGTGGAGTTTTTCATCTGCACCTGGATGAGAGGGGAAAGGACAGAGAGGGTAGCCAGTGTGGGCCACAGATGTGAAGTGGGAGTTCGTGTCACTTCGCCCATCCTTCAAAAGCATCCCAAGGCTTTGTGTGATCATGGCAGAACTTACCTGGGCTGGCTATTTCCAGCTGTGCTGGTATCTTTCTGTCTAAGGCTTTTCTTAGAAAAGTTGAAAGGAAACACACGACAAAAAGTTCAAATAGGGTATGGGGGGTTTTTCTGTTGTTGTTTTGTATTTAATGCTTGTGATCAAAGGGTTTGAATCTGCAGAGAGGTGAAGGGGGAAGGCAAATTGCCAAAGATAGCAAGTTGAAGGTCATCTTATGCAGCTTGAGAAGTGCTGAGTTTTAGTCTTGCCTCCCCCTACTACCTCGCACCTTGTTACTTACGTGCACTTTTTATTATTTTTTTAACGTAGGACAAGGCCTCTCCCTTACCACAGTGTATTTCAGCATCTCTTTCTACTCTGCCCTCCTCCTATTCGGAGATTCCTTTCCCAGAGGACATGTCTCTTGTTTTGTTATCCCTTCAGTGAGTGCTTTGAAAATCTCTCCAGTGTTCGCACTGCTGCCAGCTCAGCCGCCGCCTCACCAGCGTGCCCTGCCGGTCACTAAGCTCCACGTCTGCCCGGGCCAAGCCCTGGCTGCCCCCGCTGCGGCTGGGGGGGCTGTGGCAGTCGGCAAAGCTGGGACCCCCACCCCTTCCAAGGATGCTGCTACCCTCTGAAGTGGGGCAGGGCACAAGGACAACTTTGTTTCCTACATCGCGTGTCATGACACAGTCACTCGGGCAGTGAAGGGAGGACTGCGAGTAACGAAGCACAGGACTTGCGCTTCGAAGCTCTGCTACTGGGATCAAGGCAAAAGTCAGTACAGTAGAAAACCATTCCAGAGAAAAGAAAACATTGCTGATGTTCAACTTCTCCTGCTGCTGATCTAGCAGCATGGTAAAATACATTCAAGTAAAAATCAGTTTTTCAATGCAAGGGGCAGGTGTTCCTATCCAGGGGGAAATATTCAGCTAAGCTAGGTAGATGTCATTGGAAACAACTGCCCGAGCAGTGCCATTTGGGAGGAGGAATTAACGGGAAATCTAGATTTGCTCTGCTGAGATTCAGCTGCCAGTAATTTGGGGGCAGGAGGAAGCTCTTACTTTGGAGCAAGGCAAGTGCAGGAGTCACAGAGAACACTTGCAGGAGAGACGCTGCTTTTTGTAGAGCAAAGCCTGGGCAGAGGTCTGAGGAGATCTGTTCCTGCCCTCTTGTCCAGCTCTCCTCCCATTCGCGCTGCCTGATGAAACCAACAGAAGGGGGTGTTACAAACCGCTCCATGCCCTTGGAGGTCACTGAGGATCTCTGCGAGCTGGGCAGGAACGGCAAGGCCTATACTCCACTCCTATGGGTCTCTCCTGCAGGTGAAGGAAGGGGAGCCAAGGAGAAGCAGGGCTGCTGCTTCTGTGAAAGGCAAGAAGTTCCAGAAATGCGGTCCTGCCCTGCACAGGCAGCACAGCCCTCCCTGCTCTTGCTGACAGTGGTGGCATGTACCCTGCTTGTGTGGACACTGCCTGCCTCTCTGGGTGTCAATACAGAAGCTGACAGCTTTTGCGTGCAGGTAATGCTGGCAAACAGCCACCTCCCAGGCCAGTTTTATTTCTAGACTAGTTAAGACGATGGGGAGTGACGTACCCAGGCAGCAAGCATTTATTGTCAACTTAAAATAGGTTGTGGAATATATCTCGTGCACGTTCGCCCCCTCAATGAAACTACTGCAGTCATAGCTGGAATTAGCTGCTCGGGCTGCATGGAAAAAAAGTCAGCAGCTAAATTGGCAGTTCTGTGCAATGACATGGTGGGCTCGATAGGGAAGGCCACTTGAATTGAGATGAATGTTGTGCATCCAAAACAGCTGACTAGGAGCCACCAAGCTTGGGAATTTGCCCAACTAAGGTACACGTGCGATGAGGAATTCAGCTGGTGAATTCTCTGACCATAGCTGCCCCAGGGTGACTCCCTTTAGGGCACTTATTCCAGGGAATTTTAATCTGCATCATTATGCTCATTAGCTTTTGCATGCGAGTGAGCCTGGAGGCTTTGCTCAGGGAGCAGCAGGCTGTCCCCACCACTTGCACTGGCAACAGCGGGTGCCTTGCAGGGGAGATCTCCTATCGCCCTGTAGTGCCCAGAGTGAGAACACAGAGCAGGCACAGGACGGGTAAAAAATGCTAGAAAAACTTATATCATTTGGTAGCGAATTTCTGAGCAGATGTGAATGCTGCTGCTGCTTCTTCAGAGCCTGATAAGGAGGTTTGAGGGTTTGTTTGGTTTTGTAGGAACAGCCAGAGGCACAGGAACAACCCACTGCAAAGCCTTGCACTGAAGCACAAGTGACCGGACTTTTTAACTTAAAGCTGGGCTAAAACAATATTTTTGCACTAACCTTCTTGCTGACTGAATCTGGATAGTTCAGCCACAGGCAAGCTCAACCTAAACAGTTAAAATAGAGTTTAAAAAAAAGGGGGGGGCGGGCAGGGGGTGAAGAGGTGGGGCAAGGTTTATAACTAGATGTAGCCTTCCCTGCCTTGCTGGGCTTTCCTTGTTGCAGGAAGAGCTCTGCACTTCCAGAAGCCCCTGTTTAGGTGAACAAAACATAGCCTTGGTTGGGCAGTGACCTGGGCTCACCTGGGTCCCAGCTTTGCCACTTGCTGCAGAGGGTAACTGTGCCCTCCATGAGCTGTGGCAAGGAGCCTGTGCTCAGCAGCTGGTGCATGACCATGAGGGCTTGGCTAGGGCCTCACGCGGGTGGCTTCTTGCAGTCTAGCTGGGCTGCCACAGTTGCTACTTGTTCTGCTCTTGAGTCTCTACCAGAGTGGAGCAAGGGGCCGGGACAGGTACAGCTCCTGCCTCGGGATGTGTCGTGTTCCTGGAACGAGCTGCCGTTGGGCTGAGCTCGCGCCGGCCGGAGCTCGGCGTGATGCTGGAGGCGCCGTGGCCAGGCCCACGAGCCACCAGCTGCTTGGGTCCACCTGCAAAACAGTCTGGGGTCCCCTGGACCTCTTGGGAGGCTGTGGTCATTGAGGAGACGGTCTGCCCTTTATAGGGGGGAAAAAGCTTAAATTTGGATTGAAAAATCCAAACTTAGAGGAAGAAGTGTTACAATATTTTCTAAAGAGCATCAAAAGACTACTTCACGATGTGCCAAAAGGCCTTCTCTGTGTTGGTACCCAAGGTCATGAGACCTCTGAACGAGTTTCCTGACTCGGGAAGCTACCCACTGTGCAACCGAGCATCCAAACCCAACGGCTGGGCCGTGCACGGCGCCGACCCGGCCTCCCCGCGGGGCCCGGCACTCACCGCTCTGGTCCTGCCCTTTGCAGCCGTGCTCGTGCTGGGGGGTCCCGGCGTCGGAGAGGGACAAGGCCGGGCTGCGAGCCTCCGAGTCTGCCAGCAGGTTGAAATCCATGAGGCAGGAATGGGCGGCGGAGGAGGTGGAATCTGAAAAAGCGACCACAGGGTGATTAGGGAGATGAATCTGTGTTGGTGACCTCTTCCCACCCCTTCTGGGAGGGACTTGCCAACCCTTGAGGAAAGGTCTAGGAAAAGCAAAGGTTCCCTGTGTGATCCTTGGACTCCTCTGAGTTTCCTGGCTGGAAAATGGACATGCCAGGCTTTCTGCTTAACCTCCCTATAAATCAAATATCATCTAGTGGCACTTCTATTTGCAGCCTTCAGAGAAAGAGCCTCCAATTTATAGGTGACATTCAGACCGAAATAGCAACACTGTGAGCATGCTGTGTAACAGAGATCTGAGGAAGTAGTTCTGGGCCAGCCAAGTGCTGTTAGCACCTTCCCCAGACATCCCGCTCTCCCCATTCTCCCTGATGCACCTTCTCTCTCCTTTCTCCTTCACGTCTCAACAAGCTGGTCAAGTACAACTAATGATTCGCACACACAGGCAGCACAGAGACCAAACACACACACCCGTACGCACACCTGAAAGAAAAACCACCGCTGTGCATGGCCCTAACAGAGAGGTATAGATGGTGCCATGAGCGCAGACTTGGATCCATGCAAGCAAACACCGTACCCTCCAGGCACAGGGACCATCAGAGTCTGAATTAACACAGGAATCACATTACGCACCCTTGGGTGTCTGGGGACAAATAAGCTTGGCTGAAACAGCAGCTCCTCCCTGAAAGCATCTGAGCTGGGGGAGCTGCTGGTGCTGCTCCCTGGATCTGCAGGCACGTTTGGGAATCATCCGCCACTCTTCTCCATATTTCTTTATCTCAGGATAAATTATTCTTGCCGTGTTGTTACTCGGGAGCACCTGTACCCTCTGTTGTCACGTATTTAGGACTATATTCCGGGGAAGAGCTTGGCTGAGAGCTGCTCTATTCACGGCTGTGTTGGAAGCTGAGAGAGATGCAGGCGTGAGGCAGGAAGGAGTTACGAGGGGTCTCCATGTCCCCTTGGAGAGGTGAACTGCCCCCTGAAGTCTCAGTGTCAGTCGTGAGCCAACCATGTGCACTGCGTCGTACTGTCCTGCACACACAAGGTTTAACAGTTTCTGAAAGCTGGCCACTTTTGGGAGGCTCACTGGGCACAGCAGTCTCCTGTCACCCAAGCTAATGTCATGCCTTTCCCACCTAAGGAGCCTGTCACTAGAGCAGGTAGTAGCCACAGATGTAATGGGCTGAGGGATCTGGTGCCTCCAGGCCTAAGGACCCTTGCACCAGGCATTTGGGGTTTGCAGACTACAGATTGAGGTCACTTGTGAAACTTGAGCTCTCATGTATAAGAGATGTGTGGCGAATGTACGCACGTTGGGTCTGAGCTCCTGAAGGAAGTATTCTGTCTGGATGTGCTAGTGTTAAACATGTAAACAAGAGATTAATAACATAGCTGATGGACCTTCTTTGGAGATGGATGACAGTGACTAAGAATGTATTTTCAGAGCTGTCTAAAAATCTCCCGTCAGCTCAAGGAGGGCCTTGGCAAAACTCACCCCATACCTGCAAAGTGCTTTCAAGGGCAAGGCGAGAGGGCAGGAACCCACGTCCCATGGTTATCGTTCCCTGGCTTCTGCAGCAGCTCTTGGTCACCCTTGTCTCAACATTTTTTTTTCTGCTTTCTAGTAGTCCTTCAGTCCTCCCCTTTACCTGACCTCCCTCTCCTGCCCTTCCCCAGCATGAAATCTGTCCTGACACTGGTCTGGGTCAGCTCTCTCTGAAAAGCAGTGTCTAAAGAGCCGACCTGGTGCCGCTTTCCCAGGCCTCTGTCCCGCGTCGGGCTTTTCATCTCCCGCAGACAGGAGTGGCAGAGGCTCCATATTTGCCGTGGGGCTGGTTTCCATTTCCACCTCATTGCGAGCCTGACCTTTGATGTCTGCAGACTGCGTAAGCCCCTGGCAGCAGCGGGGCACAGCCCTGTTGCTTTCTGCCATGTGTATGTACACGAAGTGATGTGACAGGGGCTGTGTTTTCTTTAATACCTTTGCATGGGGTAGGGGGAGTCCATCTGCCGCTGATATTGCCATGGCTTTTACCATTACTCTTGGAATTATGCAGAAACGCGCAGTGAATTAATTCCACGGATTAAGTCTTGATTAAGATGTGTGTCACTTTGCTGTCTCAGAATTTATTAAGAGCCCTTCTTGAGGCAGCGGCAGATGGAATTTCTGCCCAATGTTTGTAGATGATAATTTAGCCTCTTCTACAGCCATTTGCATATGATTGCATCTGTCAAGCACAATTTCCTCTCTTCTAGGGCTTGACTCTGTACTGGACCAGATTTAAGGAGGAATTCAGACTCCTGTCTTGCTATAACTGAAGGACAGTGTCCTCCTGTGCTGGGTCCTGTTTGCTCTGAGGCTCTTCTGCACATCTTGCATCATTTTTCACCTGTGCAAACTAAAGTAGAGATATGAAAACTACAAGGGGAGTATTTTACAACTAGTTTTATAGGAAAAAAATGACAAATTAAGGTACATGACTCAGGAGAATCTGGTGCTGATACACACAATTCATGCTCCATGCTCAACTGCACGAGGGCAGTGGTTACCAGGCTGGTCCATGTCAGTAGACACAACACTGTGTGTTTAGCCTGGCTCAGAAATGCAATGGGGACTGAGATTAAAAACTGGTTTTGAAGTGTGGCCCCTATTCAAATAGAAACAAAGAATTACAAATGAGAAGAAGATTGCTTTTTGAGCTGAGTTTAAAACTGTAAGGATTTCAGAGAGGATATTATATACATATATACGTAACTATATAGTTATTACTATTATTATAGTGGTATCAAGCAGGGCCTTTTTAGGTCACTGAGTAGATCACAGATGAGCAAAACAAAAGGCAGAGGGAGATCCACTCAGCTCCATTATGAAAGTCTGCAGGAAATGTCTGCAAGGAGCTTTGCCCCAGTGTATTTGCCCAAAGACACCCCCATGCCACTGACACAAAAGGTTGTAGGTATTATTCTAGATTATGCATCGCTTTTGGATTTAATTACAGGAGCTTTCTTCCACATTGGATAGATCTCACTGTAGGCAGAGATGTTAAGAAAGTCAACACTAAATCTTCAAAGAATTTCTACCAAGTTGTTTGTCTGTTCTAGGGGAGTTATTGAAATTGGCACCACTGAAATGTCTCTAGATAACATCAAATTTACCATCTCCTTTTGAGCCTTCATGCTGACCTTCTTTTAATGTAAAAGAAAGGTTTCTTTAGGGATAGCTTCTATACTAGTAACATGGAACAAGGCTTGCTCAGAACTTCTAATTAAAATAAAATAAAATAACCCTGATTCCTAAGCTGCTCTGGTGTGTGTAACTACTTAGAAGCATCTACATATGTAGGCAGAAGATAAAGATTCTCAAATCTGTAGCAAATAGGTCCCCTCTTCAAGCCGCTCCCTGCCTGCACCCTCTGCCAGGCTCCTTGCTGGCAGTGCCAGTGACTCTCTCTGTGGGGACCTGCCAGCAGGACAGGGAGCAGCAGTGTGGAAGCTGTCTGGCTTTTTTTCCCCATATGGATGCTATGATGGGCAGCTGGGAAGGGAGATGCTCTGGCTCTAGGTTTTTTTCTCCTTTCAAATTCAACTTCTTTATATTCTTGCATTGGTGGCAGACTGTGCAAGCCAAGGTGACCAGGGGCAGGAGGAAAAGGGCACTTCTGCATGAGTCCTAGTCTCTAGAACAAGGGAGGATGACCCTTGTGTATTAAAAAAAAAAAAAAAAAAAAGGCAACGAGCCAAGCAGGAGTCCCTGTGACTTTTCTCTTATCTTCTCAGTAACGATTTGCTGCGTTACCTAGGAGCAAAAATTCCTTTGCTTGTGGGTTGTTTTGGGGTTTTTTTTTTGTTTGTTTGTTTGTTTGTTTTTTGAGGGGTGGGAGGGAAACAGAAAGGCTGAATGCAAGCCAAGTAAGGCTAATTATAGTGGTGACTTTTGCAACGTAGATATTGTCCCCTGAGCCTGGCGAGCACGTGCTGCTGAGTGCGAGCACACCTACAGCTCCTCCTGCACAGCTCTAGCTGCCGGCGAGAGGCTGCCTGCTTAGCTGCTTGATGCTCTCTGAATTCCCATGGGCATCTTCAGCAGGGACCTGCTGCCTGGCATCCCTTGGCCAAGGGGTGCAGGGGTGGCACCACGGGTGACAGAGGGATGCGAGGAAAGTTTCCCCCCATGGGCTTCCTGTGGCAAGCAGCATGCGATGCAGGAGTGCTCTGGACAGCGTGGTGGTCCCTGCAGGCTTCATTTTGTGAAAGCCACTCTCTGTCAGTGGTCTAGGCTTATCCTTCAAGCTGCAAGGTCCTCAGTTGGTTTGGGAGGGAGTTCTTCGCCCTGGGGTGGAGGTATATGGGGTTACATTAGATTTCTTAGCATCGGAGCTGTCTCTTCCTACTTCATCAATCCACAAATCAAACTCCTGTGAGTAACTAGCTTGGTGGTGGAGTTTAACCAGTTGTTTTTCTGCTGTCTTAGAAGCGTGCGCACTCTCATGCTCACCTCTCTCCTGTGGGCTGGCTTGCTTTTAGCAGAGATAAACATTGGGGAGTTCAGCTAATGGCATGTTTTCAGGAAGATGATCTGTCTGCTGTACTTTGGCCTCCAAGAGGGACTGAGCTGAGACGTAGCAGCCCATCTTTCCTCTGCCCCACATTGAAGGGGACCTGGGCTGAGACAGCACCAGGCTCCTCCTGGACGAGCGCTCAGAGCCACCGATCCCTGCATGCATGAATCTGTGAGGATGATGTGTTCGAGTGCCTGGGGGCTGGGGTTTGGAGTGCTGCGGGCACAGGGATTGCCTAGTGCAAGAGCCAGGCTTTCCTCGCTGCCTGCTGTGCTCAGGGTGCTTTCCCTGCAGCTAGAGAGCAAAAAGGTGGGACGTAAGATCCGAGTTAATCTTCATTTCCTCAAGACTACAAAAATAAGTCTAGGGGAAGTGCAGGGTCACCTACTGCAAAACCTCTCGGTGTAACTGCAAGTCTCTAATCTTAATGGAATTGCAACAGGAACCAAGAGCGACCATTAATCACTGGAAGATAAACAGCAGCAGCAAACCAGTTACCCGGCACACAGATCCATTACGGGACACGCGAGCGATCCGCCTGCCTCCCAAGCTCGAGGCCGAGCGCAGTGTGAGGCTGGCGGAGCTGCGCTCCCAGCGCGCGCTCACCGGCGGCTCGGCAGCCTCCAGCGAGGGCTGAGTCACAGCTTATAATAAACTCGAGCTCTCGATTTAGTCCTCACAGCTCGGTGCTAAACCCCGAGCTCTGGCACTGGGTGTTTTTGTGGCACGGGCGCTGCTTTGAAGCCTGGAGCTTTTTCCGTGCTGTCAGTAGGAATCACCCGGGCTCCCTGAGGGTGCTCGGTGCTGTAGCACAGTCAGAGCAAGTTGTTTTCGGCTGCCAAAACTTGCCGAGC